AGACATTCTTTGCTTAGACATTTTTATTATCCTAACAAGGAAACAAGACTTTTTTTCTTATCCTAACAAGCCTGGAAAATTTCCTTGCTTGATCCTCAGTGCTTAAGTGTGCACATGGGGTCTGTGGTGTGTTTTGCTTTCTCAAGGAAAATGTAGCTATGCCATATTGCATTGGTTTTCCTTTTCTTCTCTTCATTTTTTCTATGATCTAGTTTTCACAACTTAAGCTTCCATTTAGAACCTGGAAGAAATTCTGTTGCTTTAAGGCAAGCATAAAAATTTGGAATGCATTGCTCTAACTCATCTCCAGAGTCTTTGGGAGAAAGAGTTTCCCAGTGCCCAGGCAGGGTCGGAATGCTGTTTGGTCCCCGACTCCTGGCTGCGGCAACATCCCTCACCTAAGGGATTGCAAGTCACCTGCCCCTGCTCCCAAATGTCTGGCTTGTGAGAACACTTAGAGAACACTGCTCCATCACACTGAGCAGGACAGGCTTCTCTTGGGCTCATCCTACTTCAGTTATTTTTCTTTCTACACCACATTTTCGGATCCCCTCCCCCTTTTTGTGTGTGTGTGTGTGCCTCAGTGGGTAGACTGGTGGGTTTCCAGGATTCCTGAGAAAGGTGTCAGCCACCATCTGTTTTCAACTCGGGAACATGAGAAGCTAGCCTGACACTGGTGTGAGATTGTAGTGGGACTCAGGCGCAGAGAGGGATGTTCACATCCTCTCTAGCATCTGATTTCAACAGCAGCGAAATGCCAAGCGGGGCCTCATTGCTTTGTGCTGGGGCTTCTTTGGGGGAAATCAGAACTGTATAGGAATCCATGAAAATAATGAAAACCACAGCTTCATTTCTGCTGTGATAGATGATCAAAGATAACCATTTGTTTCCATCTGCCCCACCTCTCTCGTCTCCTACTCCCAAGACTCCATAGACTAGAAGAATGAACTGATGCAGTGTTTTTTTCCTTCTATTCCTGTGGATTCACCACTCCAGCACCAATGAGTTGCCCCAAATAACAGGTATAGAGAGATAAGGTGAGGGTGGTCTGGGGCCCACTGTACACGTGCATCAGTTACTGTCCTGCCCATGGCACTAGGGCCATACCTCCTCAACAGGGGCAACACTGCTAATGGGTAAAAAAAAAAAAAAAAAAAAAATCGATCCAGGGATGGGACAGTGGGGACAAAAAAATCTGCATATTTTAATAATGGTTTGGGTCCCTCCAAAGGGACACAGTACATAAACAGATCTACAGTATATCTGTGGTACTAAAATTTCATGGGGAGTCGAGAAGCAATTAGGAAGAAAACATTCAAAAAACCTACTTAGGGGCTGGGTGCAGTGGCTTATGCCTGTAATCCTAGCACTTTCGGAGGCTGAGGCAGCCGTATCACCTGAGTTTAGGAGTTCAAGACCAGCCTGACCAACATGGTGAAACACTGTCCCTACTAAAAATAAAAAAAATTAGCCAGGCATGGTGGTGCATGGCTGTAGTCCCAGCTGCTCAGGAGGCTGAGGAAGGAGAATCGCCTGAAATCCAGGAGGCGGAGGTTGCAGTGAGCTGAGATCATGCCTCTGCACTCCAGCCTGGGCAACAGAGTAAGACTCCGTCTCAAGAAAAAAAAAAAAAAAAAAAAAAAAGAAAACAACAACAAAAAAGCATTACAATTGTTCTTTTAATATCTGTCTCTCCACTAGATTCTACACTCCTTGAGAGCAAAGTCCAGTCTGTTCTGCTCTTCACTAAATTCACAGGCCCCAGCACCCTGTCTGGCACCTACTAATACTCAGTTGCTACTTGATTCATGAAAAGATGAATGACTTGGACCCAGAATTAAGTCTGCTTTCGGCCGGGCGCGGTGGCTCACGCCTGTAATCCCAGCACTTTGGGAGGCCGAGGCGGGCGGATCACAAGGTCAGGAGATCGAGACCACGGTGAAACCCCGTCTCTACTAAAAATACAAAAAATGAGCCGGGCGCAGTGGCGGGTGCCTGTAGTCCCAGCTACTCGGGAGGCTGGGGCAGGAGAATGGCGTGAACCCAGGAGGCGGAGCTTGCAGTGAGCCAGGATCGCGCCACTGCACTCCAGCTTGGGCGACAGAGCGAGACTCCGTCTCAAAAAAAAAAAAAAAAAAAAAAAAAGTCTGCTTTCATCCACTTCCTCTCTGTGAGATTTTCGGGGAGTGATCGATCACATGACCTCTTAAGCACTAATTCCTTCTGTGTAAAGTGACGCTAATAAATAATGTAGAACTCCCAGGGCTGATAGAGGATGAAATAAATGTACAAAAGAATTTAGTAGATAGTGCCTGTAATCCTAGCTACTTGGGAGGCTGTAGCAAGAGCATTGCTTTAAACCAGGAGGCAGACGTTGCAGCGAGCTGAGATAGTGCCACTGCACTCCAGCCTGGGCGACAGAGCAAGACTCTGTCTCAAAAAGAAAAAAAAAAAAAAAAAAAAAAAAAAAAAGCTACTTGGGGTGGCAATTATTCAATTAAGAAGATCAAGAAACAGTGCTGGGCCAGGTGCGGTGGATCATGCCTGTAATCCCAGTACTTTGGGAGGCCAAGGTGGGCAGATCACCTGAGGCTGGGAGTTCAAGCCTGATGAACATGGAGAAACCCCATCTCTACTAAAAATACAAAACTAGCCAGGCATGGTGGCGCATGCCTGTAATCCCAGCTACTTGGGAGGCTGAGGCAAGAGAATCGCTTGAACCCGAGGGGCAGAGGTTGTGGTGAGCCAGGATTGTGCCATTGCACTCCAGCCTGGGCAACAAGAACAAAACTCTGTCTCAAAAAACAAACAACAACAACAACAAAAAAAAAAACAAAAAAAAAAAAACAAAAAGGAGAAAGTACTTTGGATTCTGCTTTTTCATGTACCCCAGATGATCCTGAACTACTGGGATCTGTATCTTTTTTTTTTTTTTTTTTTTTTTCTGGATTATCCTACTGTGGATCCTGCTACTCCTGTACTCAGGCCCGCCCTCGCCCATAGTAACGGGTTTCCCGTTCCATCTCACCCCACCTGACCCCTCCCCCCCAATGCAACCTGGCCCCCCCCCATCTTATCTTGTCCATGAGGTTTCCCTTCATTCAACCAGCAAGAGACTGGGGTTGGTGTATAAATACCCCAACTCCCTCACCCGTGGGCTGCACTGGGCAATTCTGAAGCAGATGTTTCCCAGAGTTTGCCAACATGACTAAGTTCTGGTTGCCCCCCCTGTGGTTGCTCCTGAGGAATGTACCCTGTATCTGCTGCCTTCTTTTTAGTGTCTCACATCACCCCTTTCTTGCTGATTTCCCTTCACCTCCCAAGTAAACCACCTGCACTCAAATCCCTGTCTCAGAGTCTGCCTCTGTGGGAGCCTAAACTAAGATTATGTGTGTGTGTGTGTGTGTGTGTGTTAAATGATTTGTGACTTCATTAAGTTAAAGAGAGCCCATGCATGAGAAGATTGTAATTAATCTAATTCTATGAACCTGAGGTCCACTAAAAAAAAGTTTTTAAAGCATAGACTCTGGAATCACACTGCCTGGCTATGTACACAGGCCCTATTCTCACCAATACAGCAGAAAGGGAAGGCAGCAAGAAAAGTTCTGCTAGGACTTTTTGAACTAGACGTCATCTTTTGCATGACTAAAAAGGCCCAGACAGGTCCGGTGCGGTGGCTCACGCCTGTAATCCCAGCACTTTGGGAGGCTGAGGCAGGCAGATCACCTGAGGTCAGGAGTTTGAGACCAGGCTGCCCAACGTGGCAAAATCCCGTCTCTACTAAAAATACAAAAAATTATCCAGGCATGGTGTCAGTCACCTGTAATCCCAGCTGCTTGGGAGACTGAGGCAGGAGAATCGCTTGAACCCGGGAGGCAGAGGTTGCAGTTAGTCGAGATCACACCACTGCACTACAGCCTGGGCGACAAGAGCAAAACTCCGTCTTGAAAAAAAAAAGAAGGCCCAGACATTGGGCTAACTGGGCAAAGAGCTATTATTGTATTAATAGTCTAATTATTTACTGTCTACTCAGAGCAATCTCACAGCCCTACCTTTGGGATTGAAAGATCCCCATCTCCAGTAAAATCCACAGCCCGTACCTTCCTTATAACCCACTGGGCTACTGAATCCAGACTCAGAATTATTAAACAGATAGGCACAGGCCTAATGTCATAAACTCTATTGAGCAATAGATCCCTGTGGCAGGAGAAAAATTCTCCATGCTTCTTTTCTCTCGGTTTGCAGCAACAGTGCAAATGTGGGTGATGGCCTTCAGACAAATCTTTAAAAGCCAGAGAACACAACTACAAGAGGAAGTCAGGATCCTTCCCTTCCATGGTTGAGCTTCCAAAGAAATGTTTTGCTCTACTGTAGTTCTGACTTTGACATGATTTATTTGTGAGTCAGAGATCCCGTGAGCTGATAAAATGTTTAATACCGCTATGAAAACCTACATGGTAATTTCCCTTTGTACCTGAGCATTTACATTTAGACTTTTACTCCACATAGACTGCTTATTAGAGAATGGAATCACAACCCACGTAGCCCTTTCTTCTCCCTGTTCACTTTGGAGCCTACCTCCTAATTGAAGGCCTCAATTTCCTCTGCATATACTCTAATACTGTGCCTTCCTTCCCATCATCCTGTGACTTTTTCTTTCTCTCCTCCATCTGGCCATCACCACACTAACTCCACATGAGCAAACCTTCTCTGAAATAACTATTTCCAAAAGAACAGGCGCTGGTGAACTTTTTCCGTAAAAGGCCAAATAGTAAATAATTTACGTCTTGGGCCAGGCGTGGTAGTCCAAGATCATGTCACTGCACTCCAGCTTGGGTGACAAGAGTGAGACCCTGTCTCAAAAAAATAAAATAAAATAAAAATAAATAAATAAATAAATAAATAAAATAATTTAGGTCTTGTGGATCCATATGGTCTCTGTTGCGACTACACAACTCTGTCTTGGTAGCACAAAAGCAGCCACAGACAACACATACTTGAACGTGGCTTTTTTCCAATAAAGTTTTATTTACAAAAGCAGCAGTTGGTCCCATAGTCTGTACTTCGTTGATCTCTACTAGGGAACAACAAAAACAAACAAACAAAATTAATCATACCCCAGCTCCACTTAACAAGGTCTTAACAAATTGTCTTGCTTTTTTCTTAATGACTTTCTATGCAATAGCATGTACACAAGAATTTCTATATTTACTTCTAAAGCTGCTTTGAGACACAGCCAGTGTTGTACAGCAACATTCTCTATATATTCACCATACTCTGTCAGTTGAAAGCAATAATTAGGGTCCTCATATTCTTGCATTCGTTTCATAAAAACCACATACTGGCCACCAAGGTTACACCCGTGGGTACATTCATCAATGCTTCTTATTTCATTTTTCTTCTCATTGCATACAGTATAATTTCATTTACCACACTGGGCACAGTAACAAGGTTTTTCTCTAGCATGGACACACAATCAAAAGAAATAGGCAAATATTGGCTGTACTAACTTTGGCCCAAGGCATCTGTATGGAAACTTCAGAACAGAAATAAAATTTCTCTGGTTTTGTCCACTCTCTGAGTCCAACTGTGCACAAATTACATGTCATTGTGGTGACACAAATAAGACTTCATTAACATGGCCATTCTGATCCTGGTAAACAAGTTTATTTACACTTGAGCACTGCTAAAGAATGAAGTCACAGAGAGAAGTTCATGGTGGGTGGCCCTGCCTTTTACACTAAGGCAGGCTTTGACAAAATCCCCGCACCTCACTTACACAAGCTGCTACTCAGCTAGCAGGGGTTAATGAAAGTTCGGGGTAGGTGCCTGTTAAAAGAGGATAACAACACTTGTAATCAAGGCTGGTCACATTTGTATTTAACGACATATGTCAGTGTTGTTTCTAGTGTGTGTTTTGTTTTGTTTTGTTTTTCCTGAACTCCTTGTTCCTTTGCTCTGCCAGAGGGTATAAAAAGGATAAACCAGGTTTATCTTCAGGGATACGTGATGGCTGGTTAGTTACCAGTTAAACTGGGTTTTGTTTGACTCATAACTAGATATGAAGTAGTCCGTGAAGATGACAAAACCTGGGAAGATAGGATTATCTGGGGTTGTGAGAAAGACAAAGTTGAATCGTCCCACTGTGAGAACACAGCAGGGGGGTGTCTCTGTCTTCGGAAGCAGCCTGAACGTTGCTCACAGGTGACGGGAAAGCTCCGTCAAATGTTCAGGCTCCTTCCTAACGCGGGGTTGGTGGGTCTCACACGAGGAAAAGCAGAGGGACGCGTTCAAGTTTCCGATGCTGCATGTGCTGGGAAAATATGCCGCGGAGGATGCAAATGCGGAGGCAGGTCCCTGTGATGACCTGGTCTGTATACAGGAGACACCGAGCTCATCTGCCCTCCTGAGCCGCCTGGCCCCATGCCAGGCTCTTCCTCTGGGACAGCCAAGCCTGTCTTGCTCCAAGCTTCTTGGAGGCAGCCAGGAGCTGGAATTCCATCGTTCTGGGAACCGAAAGAAACCCATGTGTGTGACAGCTCACAGCCAGATGCTAGAATGTTCTCTCCAGGGACTCACTGGGTAAGGGCAGGCTCCAGGAGGACAGGAGACAGGGCAGAAAGAACACCTGACATTCACGGAGTACTGACCACACCCTGTGAATGGAGGTACGTGCCTTAGGTCATGTGGCTGCATGTCATCGAGTTGAAATTACAGGAGACACACATCAGGCAGGATGGCTTTCTCCTCTCGTCCTTTTCCTGGGAGGTTAGCTTCAGCCAGAAGAGGTAGAGACTTGTATAACCTATTTGGACCACAGCCTGCAATAGAGGAGTTGGTACCAGCCAAAGAAAGGTTTATGAGTCTGGGCGGGGTTCTGCTTGTGGGCCTCTGAAGCCACCTCCCCACAATTTCTGCAGGAGAAAAACTTGATCCAATTGGCCTTGAGCTGAGAATCCTTTGTTAGGGAGGGGTGGCAGGTTGTTGGGGTTAACAGAGAGAGATTGGGAGAATGTTGGAGGAAGAAAATGAGTGACAGTGCCAAAGAATGTAGACTCCAGATGCACATCTCAGGTAAACTCTGAGCTAATACATACTCAACAGGTACATTTAAAAACAGAACCTGCACCATCCTCTACATGCTGGGGACCAGGTGCAGTGGCTCACGCCTGTAATCCCAACAATTTGGGAGGCCAAAGCAGGAGGATCGCTTGAGCCCAGGAGTTCAAGACCAGGCTGGGCAACACTGGTAAACCCCTTCTCTACAAAAAATGTTTAAATTAGCCAGGCATGGTGGTGTATGCTTGTAGTTCCAGCTACTTGGGAGACAAAAGTGGGAGAATCACTTGAGCCTGGGAGGTCAAGGTTGTAGTGAGCCATGATCATGCCATTGCATTCCAGCCTGGGGGACAGAGCGAGACCCTGTCTTAAAAAACTAAACTAGGCCGGGCGCGGTGGCTCAAGCCTGTAATCCCAGCACTTTGGGAGGCCGAGATGGGCGGATCACGAGGTCAGGAGATCGAGACCATCCTGGCTAACACGGTGAAACCCCGTCTCTACTAAGAAATACAAAAAATAGCCGGGCGAGGTGGCAGCGCCTGTAGTCCCAGCTACTCGGGAGGCTGAGGCCAGAGAATGGCGTGAACCCGGGAGGCGGAGCTTGCAGTGAGCTGAGATCCGGCCACTGCACTCCAGCCTGGGCTACAGAGCGAGACTCCGTGTCAAAAAAACAAAAAACAAAAAACAAAAAACTAAACTAAACTACACTAGACTATGGGAGGATGTGTGATCATCTGACAGCAAGATTCTTTTCTGATGACAGACCAGACCAATGCTATGGGCACAGACACAGGGTTCCATCCATTTAGAGGTGGTACCTGAGGCTCGGACACTGTGCAGGTGCCCAAAAGTTTACTCGCCTGGAGATGGGTCACACCCTACCTTGTTTCCACGTCAGCAGACTAGCCAGTAAGTCCACAGGATTTGACTGAGCATCCTAAGGACTAGGTTTAACAGCAAAAGGAAGTTTGTAACTGGTATACAAACAAGGTTTCAACCCCCAAGGAGCTTTCTGTCCTTGATGAGATCAACCAAATAGTCTCTTCATATGATAATAACAATTCACTGGATACTTCTACACACTCTGCTTTATGTACTATGCACACTTTAACTCACCAAATCCTCGCAACAGTGCTGTGCGGGTAGTGCTATTATTGTCTTTTTTTAAAAGATGGTACATAGAAGTTAGATTATTGAACAAGTTACACACCTCATTAAGTGTCAGGGCTGGGATTCTAACTGAGACCAAGGGCTCCAGAGGTGTGCGAGAATGAAGCAAGAGAGCTGCAATCACTTCCAAAGATAACCATGTTGACAGAGGGCTTTCCATTCCATATGCTTAGTCCTTGCAAGATATGAAGAGTCTTCATCTTTCAGATGAGGCGCCTGAGTATCAGGCGAGTGATATAACTTGGAAAAACTCACGTACCTGGTAGGTTGGCAGAGGTGAGATTCAAGTTTGGGTCTGTCTGGTTTGCAGCTGGTTATCTTTCCACCACTCCACTGTTGGCCAATTTAGAGGAAGGCTGGACTCCCTTAGCCTTTCTAGCTTCCATGATGTCTGGTTCCTGGGAGATTTCTAGAGCTATGAGCATTTACTCCCACTTATGAGCAAGGCAAGAGTTCTCACGAGTTGAGGTCTAATCATGGAAGGCTAAAGGGAGGATGAGATTGTTAAGGCTTGGTTGGAGGCAATACCCTGGTTCATAACCAAGTGTTATGGTCGCCCTGCCATTAGTAAGACCAGCTTCCAACTACAATGAATGGATTGGGGAAAGGTTATTTTGTATCTGAGGCTATTTCATTTTTAAATCCACAGGTGTCAAGTAGTGTTTTTGGAAACTGTAGAGATCAAATTTTAAAAATGTCACAACTAGAAAGGCCATTGTAATAAACACTGCCTGTAAGTCATCACCCACTAATTGAGTCATCTGTGAAGTTAATGCAGATTTTTGCATATCAGGGTGCCCAACCCTTCCAGGCAGAAGGATTATCACCTGAAGTGACCTGGGTTGGAGGCACCAAAGGGCATTCTTGGAGTAAGTGGCATTTTGGAACCTCTGAGGGTTAAAGCTGGCAAAGCTACATTTGTGGGAAACCCCAGGGTCTACGTTAGTTGCACACTGGACCAAAACAGGGGCAAGAAGCAAGGGAGGGCAGCACCAAGAGGACCAAGGCACTTGTCACTTTCTCTTTCAGGATTAGCTTGATCTGTGCATAGCAGAAAACTCCAAGTAACAAATGAGAATTACAGGAGTCATGGAAATAACAGAGAGAAAGCAAGAAGCATGATGGTTTGTTTCTCTCTCATATAGTAGTCCTTATGCAGCCTGTTCAGGGTTAGTCTGGCCAATCTGTTCCAAAATGGTCTTGAGGATTATTTTAGTTCAAATAAATGCTGGCTACAGTGACAAATCTGCAAATGTCAACATCTTAACCCAATGAAGATGGTTCCCTCTGGTTATTCAAGAGTCCAAAGTGGGGGCCAGGCTTGATGGTGCACACCTGTAATCCCAGTATTTTGGGAGGCTGAGGCAGACAGATCACTTGAGGCCAGAAGTTTGAGACCAGCCTGGCCAACATGGTGAAATCCTGTCACTACTAAAAATACAAAAATTAGCCAGGCATGGTGATGTGTGCCTATAGTCCCAGCTACTTGGGAGGCAGAGGTGAAAGAATCGTTTGAACCCGGGAGGCAAAGGTTGCAGTGAGCCTAGATCGCGCCACTGCACTCCAGCTTGGGTAACAGAGGGAGATTCAGTCTCAAAAACAAGGCAAAACAAAACAAACAAAAATCCAATGCAGAGCTGGGCATGGTGGCTCACACCTATAATCCCAGCACTTTGGGAGGCCAAGGTAGGCAGATCGCTTGAGCCCAGGAGTTTAAGACCAGTCTGAGGAATGTGGAGAAACCCCATCTGTACAAAAAATACCAAAACTAGCTGGGTGTGGTGGCATGCACCTGTGGTCCAAGTTACTCGGGAGGCTGAGGTGGGAGGATCAATTGAGCCTGGGAGGTTGACACTGCAATGAGTCGTAATCATGCCACTGCACTCCAGCCTGAGTGACAGAATGGGACAGGACCCTGTCTCAAAAAAAAAGAGAAAAAAAAGAAAGAAAGAAAGAAAGAAAGAAGAAAGAAAGAAAAAGAAAAAGTCCAATATAAGTGTTCCTCCACAGTGGGCATCTTTCCTCCATGTAGGTCTAGCTCATTGTAGGCTCTTGTAAGTATTTGTTAAATAAACCACTTAAAGATATGTGTTCACAGAATCAGGGACACAGATTCCTTCTATCTTGTGGCTCTGCTATTACTTAAAACCTCAGAATCCTCTGTACTTGGCCAGATGATGGGGGAAGAGCACAAAGCAGAGAATGTGACTTGTAATGGGCCACATCTGGAGGTGGCCCACTCAAATCTACTCAAATGCTATTGGCTAGGAATTATTCTAAGCTCCAAGGAAGGCTGGGGAATGTAGCCTAGCTGTGTGCCCAAGAAGAAGGACAGACAGGTCTGGAGACCAGCCTCTGCTACAAGGACCCAGGCTCTTTTCAGCTCCTTAGCAGCATGTACCCTCAGAGTTTAGCCCTTGATCAAAAGTGGCAGCTAGCAAAGCTGCTTTCTACATGACAACCTGAAGAGCCACTGACTAAATCCTAGGTATAAGGCATCACTTTCTAAAGAATGAATCTCTTGAGTTAGTTTATATTTTTGCATCCACGAGACGAAGGAAAGAGAAAACAAAACAAAACAAAACAGAAATAAGGGCATGTGCCAAGTGTGCTTTAGTTTCCTCATTTGAGAAACAAAGGAGTTGACAGACATAAAATGCTTAGAAGGACACCTGGCTTATATTAAATGCGCAATAATAGAGAGCTACGGGAAAAGGACTGGGGATAGAGGGGAGAAGAAAAGGAGGAGAAAAAAGGAAGGTTGTCTTGAACCAGATTTCCCAAGGCAGAAATTTCCCAGGAGCTTCTGCTTACTTCCTATTGGTCAGAACTTAGTTATGTGGTCACATATTCCCAGCAAGGAGGCTGGGAAATGCTTTTATTTCAGGAACTCATATGCCTTGCTAAAGATTAGGGATTTTTTTACTATGGAAGAAAAGGAGAATAGGTATTGGAAGACAACTCATAGTTGCTGCCACATTCACCAACAGCCTAGACAAGGCTCAGATTTTAAGCCTGCTAAATTTTTAGGGAGTCGGCAGAATATCCTGGTTTAACAGACAGAACTGGGACCTGAGACATAGTCTTTAGCCAGGACTGTGGAGTGATGGGCAGTTTATTATCTCAGTATTGCTGAGGCCTGCTGGCCTCACCACTGGCCCTATGCATGCTACTCCCCACGGTTTGAGCACCCCACTTCTAAATGCGTGCCATCCATCAGGGAGTATGTGGGAACCTGAGCCATCTCCAGGGCTCAGGCTAACTCACCTAGGAGGGGCCCTGCCTCCTGAAAGCATTCAGGAGCTCCGAGGCAGAATCCAGGCTTCATTCCTGCCTCGGTCACTCCCTCTTTGCTCCTTGATCCTTCAGCACCCGAGGACCCCAGCGTCCTTACTCTTCCTCACTCTTACCCCAGGTTCTCTTCCTGCCTGACTGCCCAGGCACCATCCAGGCTTTGCCTCACCCTTTGGACCTGGTGTTATGGGTTGAATTGTGTCCCTGACACTCCAAATTCCTATGTTGAAGTCCTAATCTTAACATTTTGGTACCCAAAACGCTAGTGCCTAAGAATGTGACTTCATTAGGAAATAGAGTCATTGCAGATACAGTTAAATTAAGAGGAGGTCACAGTGGAGTAGAGTAGGCCCCTAATCCAATACAACAGGTGACCTTATAAAAGGGACATTTGGACACAGACACACACACAGGGAGCATGCCATGTGAAAATGAAGGCAAGTATCCAGGCAATGCATCTGCCAGCCAAGGAATGCCAAAGATTGCCAGCAGTTAGGAGAGGGGCATGGAACAGATTCTCCCGCACAGCCTTCAGAAGGAAATATGAGTGCCCCACCTCCAAATGCCTGGAACCAACCCTATTAACACATGAATCTCAGACTTCTGACTCTAGAAGGGTGAAACAATAAAATGACCAATATTTAAGACACCCAGTTTGTGGTATTTTGACATGGGGGCCCGATGAAACTAACATACCTGGCCTGGCTTCAGGTTTTGGGAGGCTGAGATGGACAGATCGCTTAAGCCCAGGAGTTCAAGACCAGCCTGGGCAACATGGAGAAACCCCATTTCTACAAAAAAATTAAAAAACTAGCTGGGCGTGGTGGTATATACCTATGGTCCCAGCTACTTGGGAGGCTGAGGTGGGAGGATCACCTGAGCCTGGGATGTCGAGGCTGCAGTGAGTCATGATCACACCAGTGCACTCCACTCTGGGTAACAGTGAGACCCTGACTCAAAAAAAAAAAAAAAAAAGTCCACTGTAAGGGTTCTTCCACAATGGGCATCTTTCCCCCATGTAAGTCGAGCCCATTGTAGACTCTTGTAAGTGTTTGTTAAATAAACCACCTAAAGATATGTGTCCAAGGGGCTGGGCACGGTGGCTCACACCTGTAATTCTAACACTTTGGGAGGCCGAGGTGGATGGATCACTTAAGACCAAGTGATCAAGGCCATCCTGGTCAACGAGGTGAAAACCTGTCTCTACTAAAAATACAAAAATTAGCTGGGCCTGGGGGCAGGCACCTGTAGTCCCAGCTACTCAGGAGGATGAGGCAGGAGAATTGCTTGAACCCAGGAGATGGAAGTTGCGGTGAGCTGAGATTGAGCCAGCCTTGCCCCAGCCATGCAGACCAGGGCTCCTCAGCTAGTCTCAGCTCTCAGTCCATCTTTACCTTGGCCTTCCCCATTCCAGCTCTGCCCCACTCAACCCCGCTCTGCCCATCTACCCTCCCTTTGTTGCCCCAGGTCTCTTTCCCTGAAACCCCCCAAGTTCTGCTGCTAACAGAGCTGGTGTTGATCGCAGTATTCAAGAGCCACACATTCACTTTCAGAATCCACCTCTCACAAAAGAGTTCACAACCAGTGAATGAGTATTTTAGGTGAAGCCGGAACCTCTTGCCAACCCTTAGGCTTTATGTACACAACAACATGAAGTAGAGTTGAGTATCCTTAGGGTAGATGAACATTGACGGCCACACTGAAAAATCAGATCAGTTTCTTAAGGGAAGGAGGCAATATTTTTTTTCCCAGAAATAAAGCAAAGGGTGTGCTCTCAGCACTCTCCCTGTTTAGAATGTGTGGATATGGCTTTTGTGCCTAGGCCATCTGGTTAACCTACATCTTCCCGTGTTTCTGGGCCATCAATGTAAGAAGCCCCCATCATTATCTACAAAGTATTTTTTGGTAACTGAAATAAGTGAAGTTCATGAGGGAGAAACCTAGGCAACAAGTGAAATAAAAAGGCATGCAACTAGTCTGACCATACCCAAAAAGGAAGTCCCATCACTGGAAACCTCCCAGGATGCTCCAGCAGAGGTACAACTGCCATGTGTCCCTGGTTTCTCAGGGCAGCCACAATTTCAAAGATCTGCTCCCACTGCAGTCCCAGCACTCTGGGAGGCCAAGGCAGGAAGATTGTTTGTGACTAGGTGTTTGAGACCAGCCTGGGCAACATGGTGAAACCCCATCTCTCTAAAAAAAAAAAAAAAAAAAAAAAAAAGTACAAAAATTTAGCTGAGTATAGTGGCATATGCCTATAGTCCCAGCTACTAGGGAGGCTGAGGTGGGAGGATGGCTTGAGCCCAGAGGTCGAGGCTGCAGTGAGCCATGATCATGGCACTGAACTCCTGGGTGAGTTCAGACTGAGTACAACCATGTCTCGATAAATGAATAAATAAATAAATAAATATTTGTTCCCTTGAACACCCCAAGAATTCTCATACCCATGATTCGTTTTGGGTTCAGAAATATGGTCACCACAGATGCAGAAAACCCCAGCTCACCAGAGGGCACAGAAGAAGGAGGGGCACTAAAGGTGTCAAGGACGACTGGAGAAAGAGCCACCACCTGATGGAGCTGCCAGGTCTGGGGAGGGTAATGATCCCAAAGGCCCACACCACACCTGCGGGGGAACAGGTCTTCTCCTCCAAACTGCTGAGCAAGTGCCATCTGGTTTCAATGGGCATCACAGGGAAACTTGAAATGGAAGAGAAGTTCCAAATGAACAATCCAGGAAGGCGGCATCCAGAGGACATCATAGTCCCTATTGGCCCCACTCCCTCTGCTGAGGGAGTATGTATGAGTGAGGGAGATCAGTACCCAGGCCTCCGGTCCCTTCTTTCAGCATCAGCCTCCAGGGAGGGTGGAGAGCAGAGGCAGCCGCAGGATGGCGGCCCAGGAGCTGTAGCCTGGTAATGGAACTATGGGTGGGTCACAGGTTCCCCTCCTGGTTGGCCCAGGCTTCAGAGAGCAGTGAGAGGCCTTCTCCCTGGGCAGGTGCCTGCACCTCCCTGGTGCACCCCCACCTGGGCTCCCAGTACCCCTCTGAGTTTTGCAGTTCCAGGAGTCATGACAACATGTGATCTTCGGTCCTA